CTGGCTCCTTCGTTTTGACTTGTTCTGCACAGCTTCCTGGCTCCACCCCCTCTACAGACTCCATCCAGTTGACTGGCTCCGTCTCCTCTGTTTACTTCAATGGGATCTCTGGCTTTACCCCCTCTGCTGGCTCCAGCTGGGTCCGTGGATCCACACCCTTCACTGGCTCCGCTCATTTTCCCGGCTTGCCTCATCTTCCTGAGACACCGGCTCTGCCTCTGGCTATGCGTCATCCCTCCACCCTTTTGGCTCCACTGGCTACTCCGTCCCTCCGGCTTCTCCTTTGTCCTCACTCCAACTGCCTCCAGCTAGGTCTTCCGACCTTCAGCCCTCCAGAATCATCAGCAGAAGTGGATTCACTGGTGTCGCAAGAAGCCTTCCCCATCTACTCCTCTGTGGTTCCTTCCGCCACCAGCCCCTCCTTGGTTTTCTTTTCGCTTGTTCTACCTAGCTCTCTGGCTCCACCCTCTCTGCAGCCTCAATTCAGTTTTCTGGCTCCGCCTCCTCTGCTGGCTTCATTGGGTTCTCTGGCTCCACCCCCTCCTCTGGCTCCGGCTGGCTCCATCCCTCCGACGACTCCTTTGCCCTCACTCCCACTGGCTCTGTCTTCTGAGCCTTCATCGCCACCTTACTCCTCTGACCCTCTGGTTCCACTTTAGACCCCTGTGCTTGGTGTCGATTTGGTCCTTTATCCCTACATCTGCACCTTGGTATCAAGCCCACCTAACTCTACTTTGGTTTTCAGTTCCCATGGCTCCGCCCAGGTGAAAAATGCTGAGGGCAACGCTGCGGACCTTCAGCCATCCAGCATCATCAGGAGAAATGGATTCACTGGTGTTGCAGAGGCATCCTCCTCCTACTGCTCCGTGGTTCCTTCCTCCGCCAGCCACTCCTTGTTTTTTTTCTCTCCGCCGGTCCCTCCATGGACTCTGGGGGCCCTATTTTAACGATCTGAAACGCAAGTGTCAAAGCGCAAAGCGCAAGTAACTTTGTGGGCGGATCCCGGCGCTGTTGCTATTTTCCCGGCGGGATAAATGCCTCTTGCGCCTGGCGCAAATCTAAAAGGGGTTGGTCTGAAGTAGCTTCATTATTCATAGGTGTGGTTTGGGCGTAACGTGAAATAAACCAATCAGAGCGTCATCTCACATTCCCTTTAAGAGCAGGCGCGCTTGTTCTAAAGCGGATTCCTATTATAACGGCGGATTTGCAAGGCGCGCGCCAGGAGCGGTTCACAGCCGAGGAGAGCAACGTTCTCGTCAGGGCCGTAAAACACAGAGAAGTGACATTGGGGATGTAGAAACCCACCCAAATTAACTTCTGTTAAACAGGCGTATGATAATTTGGGTAAATGTGTAAGCTACATGTATGCTTTTATAATAAATTGCCTATCTATCTATCTATCTATCTATCTATCTATCTATCTATCTATCTATCTATCGTAATAATGTATGATTTGCAAAAATGAAAACTGCTGCTTAGATGAGAGAATCAAAGTGTATGCGCGTTGTGCACACGCTACATTGATTATGGCCAAGCATGCGCCCTTAAAATAGCATAATGAACAACGCGCAACGCGCCACTGACTTTAGACTATTTTTTTCTGGTCAGTGGCGCATTTGTTACATAGAACAGCAAAATAGCATGAGGGAAAGTTTGCGCCGGAACACGCCTCCTTTTTGCGCTGAACCGCCCCGGGGAGCGCAAGTGTATTTCTTAGTTAACCGACGTGTGTCTGTGGAGGGAAAAGCCCACTTTGCGTGGGTGCAAAAAAGGAATGATACATGCGTCAGTGTACAAAGTCATTTGCGCCGAGTGCAAGATAGGGCCCTGGGTGTCTTTGCCCTCCTTCCCACCTGAATGGATTATACCTTCCCTTCCAACCACCTCAGGGGTGGGGGAGGTAATGTTACGTCTAAGCTCAGTTAGTTTGTTCCCTTGGTTAATGATTGTGTTCACCTGTGTCTTGTTTAGTTTCTGATTATCCTGTGTCAAGCTGGGTGCTTTTTAAGTCTTGGGTATAATTCACTTCCTAATCTAGTGTCATTATTTTTATGATTATTAACATTTGCCACATTGACACTAAAATTAATGACCTACTGAAATAATTTTCCTATTAACATGTTTACTCAGTTGTACATGAATAAAAATACTCACTTGATAAAGTTGATGTTTCTGAGTCAGTTGAAGTAGAGCTTGTAGTGGCAGGGTGTGCTAAAATATTTAGATGTTTGAATAGAAACATTATGCAAGTAATATTCGTTGACATACTTAAAATGACATTACTGCATGTAATTAAATTCTGTTTTGCAAAAACTTTTAATAAAAAATAATATGACAGCATCTGTAAACTGCGTTAATACAGTTTTTTTCAACTGAAATGTCATAATTGTCTATCTATATAAATTACATCTCGTAGGAGATGCTGTTTGACACAATTATCATAATCAACTTCATTGGTAATAAACAATTATAAAATACAGCGATTAGTTTACACAGTTGTCCATGAACAGTACTCACTTGTAGAATGTGTTTCAGTGGATGTTTGAGGGCCAGTTGAAGAAATGCTTGTAGTGACAGGGGATGCTGTGATATATGGACATATAATGAAATAAAAACAAACATATACAAAATATTGCTTGGAAGCAAACAATGGCACATGTTCATACAATTCATTTTTGTATTACAATTTAAGTATTATTGTTAGAAAAATAACTTATATAACATTATAAACATTTTAACTGGTAGGCACTGATGTTTGATACTCAGGAAGTGACGTGAAATAAGTACAATTATTATTTAAAAAAGTTTTATTTGTAGACATGTTTACAAAACCTTTTTTTTTGTATACAATGAAATTCTGCATTTCAAGAATTATTATCACACAAATATATAATATAGGCATAAAACGGTACAAATTTTTTATTTTAGGTGCTGATGTTTGATACTAGGATGTGATTTGAAATACCGAAGTACCTATTACGTGTAACATGAGCATGTGAATAAACTACAGGTATAATTTTCCTATTATCATGTTTACACAAATGTCCATGAATAAACATACTCACTTGTAGGAGCTGATGTTAGAGAAGTAGTTGAAGAAGAGATTGTAGTGGCAGTGGCTGCTGGAATATTTCAATATAGAAAGAATTAATACAGTTTCAATGTGCAATACTTGTTATGCTTACAAGGATATTTTTAATTAATACAATAACATTCTGTATAACAAGAATTACTAAAAGAACATGACAAACAGTAAATAATTTTGTCAAAACAGTTTACTTTTCCAATGACTTAGTTTGTTAGTTCCTGATTTCCCATGGGTCTACTTTATTCCCTTGACTTTATGCCTCCAAGTCCCCCCGATTGCCCGCAAGCTTCTCCTCCTGTCTATACGGTAATTTCTCTTCTGTGCGACAGAGAGTCGCGTGTTATGACGTAATCGTTAGCATATTTTTACAAAAACTGCTTCTACGGGGCCATAACGTAAGATACAAGGTAATGGAGCCTTTTATACATTGTCGAGTTTCTTTAGAAATAAACAATGGACAAATGGAGTCTTTAAACGCCTCAGATGTAAAGTTATTCGCTGTCAAAGTGACGCCAAAATGAATGGAAATCAATGGAATGCTAACAGCAGGTTAAGGCTTGCTAGCCAATGGCGGCCCCCAGGGTAGCTTCAGTTCCCTTTCAAGGGAACTCAAGCTGCGTTTGAGACGCGGTGGGAACGCTCTGCGTGATTGCGTCATGAAGCACGTGTAAAATCAGTCCAATGGAAGCCCGATACGTCATAGGTGACGTCATAGACCAGGAAACTATAAATCACCCCTGAAAACAGACCGCGACAGCTTCTGTTGCCTTCAGCAAGCGCTCTCTGTGAATCTGTCCTTTTCTATTTATTGTTGTAAGATTACAAACGTTGTGTTGTTCCCTGCCCTCGTTTCATTACGGGTGGGGACACACATCAGATGTGTGTTGCTTGTTTGAGAGTGGAGCATGCCCAGTCAGTCCTCGAGGGGGCTGATTGTGAGCATTGCATGAGTTTGTCCATGAAAACTCTCCGCTCTCGCCGGGCGTTCTTTGAGGAGGACGGTTCGGTTCGCGTTCCCCGAGGTGCGGGTCCCGCTGCTGCCGAGGCACAGCGGCGGCGTGCATCTTGGGGTTCGCAGATGGATTTAGTAGCGGGGTTTGAGACGGGCCCCGCCCTTTCTCAGCCCTTACCTGATGGATCCGGTGTCTCAGCCCAGGAAGGAGCCCGCGCTGCGGTTTCTCCTCCCCAGGTTGAGGCACCAATGTTGCGGCTATCCAGTTCTGAGGAACTGGATGTCGTGGATATGGGGGAATTTGAGTCTTCGCCAGCTCATACCCCTGCTGATGAGGAGCTTTTGGAGGTCTTATCTCGTGCTGTTGCTAAATTAAATATCGACTGGCCAGCTGATGATATTGATGTGGAATCTAGAAAAAGATATTTTAGATGAACGTTATTTAACATCTAGATCACGACCTCCTCGTCGGGAACTCCCGTTTTTTCCCGATCTCCACACCGAGGTGTCGAGGTCGTGGAATAAACCGGCGTCTTTCAGAGTACATAATCCACAGACTAGTAACTATAGTAAAGTTAAAGGGATTGATCACTATGGTTATTTGGCGATGCCTCGTGCGGAAGAGACGCTTGCGAGCTATCTCTCCCCTGAGTCATCATCATCACTGAAAGCCCCGACGTTACCGACAAAACCATTAAAGAATACATCATTTCTAGTGGGTAAAGCGTATTCGGCAGCAGGTCAGGCCGCGGCATGCTTACATACCATGTCAATTTTACAAGCATACCAGGCTGACCTGCTGAGGGACATGGACGATTATGAGGAAGTTAGTGCCGATGCAATTCGAGAATTGCGTCTCACAACAGACCTATCTGTTGTGCCACCAAGGAGACGGCCAAATCTGTGGGCCGTTCTATGGCAGCCATGGTGGCCACGGAATGTCATTTGTGGTTAAATCTGTCAGATATTAAAGACAAAGATAGGTCTGTTCTTCTGGACGCACTGCTTTCTCCTACAAGTCTGTTCGGCGATGCTATAAATTGTGTTGTCGATAGGTTTCAAGAAAACAAAAAACAAGCGGCTGCGTTTCAGAGGTTTCTTCCTCGCCGGTCCAGTGTCCCCGAGGCCGCTCGTAATGTAAAGATTGAGCAGCCTGGTCCGTCTACGAGCTCCGCACACAGGTTCCAGCAGAAACAGAGCGTCGCCGCTCGGGCTCATCCGCAATCCGGGGTTCCCGAGTGGCGTTCGCAGTCCAGGCCTGTTGGAGGTAGACAGGATCTGAGGACTGTCATCTCCAAGAGAGCTTGGACTAAGAAGAAGTCCTGACGCCGACTCTGTCAGGCTTCTGAGGGTTTTCCCCTCCAGGGAGGAACGATTCCGAGGAACCGTCCCTCCTTGGCGCCCTCCGGGGGGCGATTCTCCGAGGGGAATCGCAGCGCTGCCACGTCGGTTGTTTCCTGCCGGTTCGCCGTTTCAGGGCACCGAGGTGTCAGCGTCCCCGTGCAATCCTCTGAGGAGGGTTGTAGAACGGTCAGTTCGGTTGTTCCCTGCCGGTTCGCCGCTTCAGGGCGCCGAAATGATTGTTCAATCAAATCCAGAGGCCAGTCTCGAGAGACTGGTTCCCTTATCGGAATTTCTGGCAGCGTGGAAACTTCTGCCAAATATTTCTATATGGGTCCTGCACATAATAGAAAAGGGTTACAGAATTCAGTTCGGTTCTCGTCCGCCCAGATTTCAAGGGGTCCTTCCCACAGTGGTGGACTCACAGCAGGCTCTGGTTATGGAGCAGGAGTACTGACACTTCTTCAAAAAGGAGCTATAGAGGGGGTGCCTCCTCCCAGCAGAGAGTCAGGGTTTTACAGCCGTTACTTCATTGTTCAAGAAGGATGGAGGGTTGCGTCCTATTCTAGATCTGCGCCATTTAAACAGCAGAGTTCAGAAACTCAAGTTCAGAATGCTTACACTCAGACAGATTGGATCACAGATTCAGTCCGAGGACTGGTTTGTCACAATAGACTTGAAGGACACGTACTTCCATGTATCTATCCATCCTCATCACAGGAAGTTCCTGAGGTTCGCTTTCAGGGGCGAAGCATACCAGTATCGGGTTCTTCCATTTGGCCTAGGTTTATCACCCCGCACCTTTACAAAATGCGTGGATGCAGCTCTGGCTCCTTTGAGACTCCAGGGCATTCGCATATTAAACTACATCGACGATTGGTTGATTTTAGCTCAGTCAGAGCAGTTGGCAGTTCGGCATCGAGATGTCGTTCTGTCCCACATAAAGAGTTTGGGGTTGCGGCTCAACATCAAAAAGAGTGTTCTCCTCCCGGCTCAGAGGACCAGTTTTCTAGGTGTAATTTGGGATTCGACCACAATGCAGGCATGTCTGTCTCCTGCTCGTATTTCTGCGATTCTCATAGCCGTAAAGAACGTAAAACTAGGCCAGTCACTCACTGTAAAACAGTTTCAGAGACTGTTGGGACTCATGGCAGCGGCGTCCAACGTGATTACTTTTGGCCTGCTGTACATGAGACCCCTGCAGTGGTGTCTCAGAACCAAGGGGTTTTCTCCGAGGGGAAATCCGTTCCGCAAGATCAAGGTCACGCGGCTATGCCTTCGTGCCTTGGTCATGTGGAAGAAACTTTGGTTCCTCGCCCAAGGCCCAGTGCTGGGGGCTTCTTGTCGACACGTCACGCTTTCGACAGATGCTTCCCTCACGGGATGGGGGGCGGTCATGAGTGGCCGTTTGGCGCAAGGTCTGTGGCAGGACCATCATCTTTCTTGGCACATAAATTGTTTGGAGATGATGGCGGTATTTCGAGCTCTCAAATATTTCCTGCCAGACCTGAGAGGCCATCATGTGTTGGTCCGTACGGACAACACGTCGGTGGTCTCCTATATCAACCATCAGGGGGGTCTGAGATCACGTCGCCTTTGCAAGCAGGCCCATCAGATCCTCCTATGGGCCCAGGGGAAGTTGCTATCTCTCAGAGCAGTTTACATTCCGGGGCGTCAGAATGTGGGAGCGGATATCCTGTCGAGGCAGGGGCTGAGGCCTGGAGAGTGGAGACTTCACCCCGAGGTGGTGGAGCTCCTGTGGGAGAAGTTTGGTCGAGCTCAAGTAGACCTTTTCGAATCGTCAGATACAACCCATTGTCCCATGTGGTTCTCCCACACGCACCCAGGTCCTCTCGGACTGGATGCGATGGTGCAGGTGTGGCCGAGGCTGCACCTGTATGCATTCCCCCCGATATCTATGCTTCCGGGGGTTCTGGACAGGGTTCGCCGGAAAGGGGCTTGTCTGCTACTGATAGCCCCTTACTGGCCGGCCCGAGTTTGGTTCTCGGACTTGGTGTCTCTTCTGAACGGCTCTTCCATGGAGATTTCAATTAGGAGGGACCTGCTGTCCCAGGCAGGGGGCACGATATTTCACCCTCAGCCGGAGTTGTGGAAACTGTGGGCCTGGCCTCTGAGGGGGCCCGGCTCATAGAATCCGGTCTCTCGACTGAGGTCGTTGAGACCATTCTCCAATCCAGAGCTCCTTCCACGAGAAAACTCTGAAATGCACTGAAATGGAAATTATTCTCCACCTGGTGTGGTGAGCGTCAGTTAGATCCTGTTAACTGCCCTGTTGGTTCAGTTCTTGATTTCCTGCAAGACCGTTTCTCTGCTGGATTATCTCCTTCCACCTTAAAAGTTTATGTGGCGGCTATATAGGCCTACCACACCCCTCTGGGGGGTACTTCTATCGGGAAAGATCCTTTTATTACTCGTTTTCTCCATGGTACATTGAGGTTGAGACCTGCACTGCACTCTAGAGCACCGGCTTGGGATTTGGCCATTGTACTTGAGGGTCTGGCTTTGGCTCCCTTCGAGCCTATTGAAGAGGTTTCAGAAAAATTCCTCACCTTGAAAGCTTTGTTTCTCCTTGCTATTTCATCTATCAAGAGAATTGGAGATTTGCATGCCCTGTCGGTTGCTCCTTCATGTTTGGAATTTGCACCTGGTATGGTGAAGGCGTTTCTCTACCCTAGACCGTGTTATATTCCTAAGGTCCCAGTTAATGTTGGGGGCCCAATAGTGCTGCAGGCCTTTTATCCTCCACCTTTTAATACCCCAGATCAGGAACAACTGAACCTGTTATGTCCAGTTCGGGCATTAGATGCCTACGTTTACAGAGCTGCCCTGTGGCGTAAGTCTGAACAATTATTTGTCTGCTTTGGGTCACTCAAGAGAGGTGCCCTGCATCTAAACAGGTGATGAGCAAATGGATAGTCGAGGCTATATCATTGGCTTATGAAGCGACCGGTCAGCCTTCACCTATGGCTGTACGGGCCCATTCTACAAGGAGTATGGCGGCCTCTACGGCCTTATTTTCGGGTGTTTCCCTTCTTGATATTTGCAATGCGGCAGGATGGTCCTCTCCGCATACATTTGTCAGGTTTTATGACCTTGACCTCTCCACTCCAGGGGCGAGGTTGCTTGCTTCTTAGTGTGCGCAGGACTTCACACAGAATGGGCATTTGTCACTACACTGTAAAAAGTAAAACATTGGTGTTTTTCGTTTGATTTTTTTTTTTTTCCAATAGCCTAAAATTATTAGATTGTTAAGTAAAATTACATTTTGTGATTTGTATGTGTCTTTCAGTCTATTTTCTTAGATTGGTACAATATAAAATTATAACATTACAATGAATTTTAAATTATACATTCGATCAAACGACTTTTATTAGATAAAGCATGGTTTGCGCATGCGCACACGTGAAAACTCGAGAGAAGGTTCTAGAAGAGACCGAGCGCAGAAGTCGGAGAGTCATCTGTTGAACAACGCGAAGCGAACAGGACACGTTTGTCAGGTAAGGGGGTACCATTCAGCATTTAAATACTTGAAAAGTATTAACGTCATATCATTTTAATGAACAGACACGCAGATTAGAAGTTATTATAACATTCATTTTGACATTATAGTGGTAAGTAGCGTTAACGCGCCATTTTACAGCTAGGTGCTAACGATTTTCCAGGGAAATCCAAGAACTTAAGATTATATACCGTTAGACCGATTGAATGGATATTATGAAAGGAAAAAATGATGAATGTTGTTAAAAAAACGATGTATTCATGACTGAGTTTTGAGTAACGACAATTAGCTGCTAACGTTAAATGAATCACCTCAATATGGGAGTGACGTTTAAGTTAGCTAGCTAACAACTTAACGTTAACGTTTCCCGCCCAGAGTTTAAAGTCAGGCTAACTGCCTCTCCCCCGGCTTTCAATATGAACGCAGATTTTATAACGTTATGTTTTATGTATTAAATTTGCGAAGGCGGAAATTAATGTGAGGAAAATAAATTTACACTTTGAAACTGCAAAACTAAAACGGATTAATGACTGTTTGGATTTGAATTTTAGGAAAGCTGCTGCTTGGTTGGCATGGTTCCTAGTTTTGGGCAGTTTTGGTTGTCTGTCAAGTCTTCACTGACACGGGTAAGTTGTTTTTGCGTTCAATACAGATTGCAGGGCAGGAGCAAATGATTATTGGAGAAGTCAAGGTAACTTTACTGTGTTTCAATAAAAACAGTCTTTTTAATAAACTATATGTACACTTACAAAGTTATCAATGCCTTGTTTCAAATGTTAGAACCTTAATTATACTACCAACGAAGTGTGGGGCTACTTTGAACCTTGTTTATGGTTTATAAAACAGTGATTTATACTGAGCATGATGCCCCTAACACTAACATTGTGAGCTTTTTGCACCTTTAGGCTAAATGTGTTCTAAATGTGTCAGGCAGGCATGGCATTATAAAAAAAAATGCTCCATGATGAATGGTCAAATTTTTTATCATGTTTCATTATACTTTGTCTTTTTCAAACCGTATTTCTACTGTATGTGATAAAAAAGGAGCATGTAATTTTAATGAATGCATTTTGTTCAGGTCGTGGACAACACAAGGAGGGAATCAGTTCTTAAATGTTTATTCATCTGCTTTGGTGAATCTGTTCACCATCTCATCAAGAAAATTCAGGTACGTACATCGCTCAGCAATCCACGCACATACTTCCATACTGTACATACAGTACATACAAAAAATTAGAATGTAGTCTAAGTTCAGTAATTTGAGAAAAAAAAGTTACAAAAAAGTGTAACTCATGCATTATATATATATATATTTCACGCAATTATTTGTGCTACTTCTGTTGATTGCAGCTTATAGCTATGTTCACGTATATGCACTAAATACCTGGTATTTTGGCCTCCTTTTGCTTGAATTGCTGCATCAGTATGGAGGCAATCTGCATGTGGCACAGCTGAATGCCCAGGTTGTTTTAAAGGTTGTATCAGCGATTGCAGGCACAAACATAAATGATCATTCATCCTCATGATCCGCTAACTGCACGCCCCATAAGCAGGCCGTCAAAAAAACCCCAAAAAAAACGCGTCTGTAGGCAGCCTAGGCTACGAGATCTGTACCCAAAAAATAAAAGACGGCAACAGTGCTACCAACCACTCATAGTGGTTCCACAAATAGTGTTCCAAACAATTACTGACATGGAAAAAATAGTGTTCCAACCAATTACTGACTGAACATGAAAATGCTTTTCTTAAGGCATACATTCTGTATTACAAATCCTTGTTTTTATTGGTTATATGTGATATTTTAATTTTCTGAGATACTCCATCAACTGTTTGGTTAGCACTCTTTATTCATTACTATGTATTGTCTCGCCAGGATATGCCAGGTGATAGCCGGAGCAACCAATGGCCATCTTCATCAGTGAGAGCATTGAGAGCACAGAGGTCCTCAGTAACGTGCCCTCAACCGCAGCTGCTGTAACAGTTTTATTTGGACTGCATGTGCTAAACCTCAAATTTCCAAAAGAACTGAAATTAACTATGTCGCCTCTGCACTCTGCTGCATTGTCAATGACTGACTGACAGCCTCCATTTCAGTACTTTGATGAACACACACACAGGATGGGAGAAACGCCTTTACCCCAGTCTCAACTACATCGTAATAGTAGTTCAGTAGTTGTTTGTTGTTTACTGAATGTGGCAATATCTATGTTTTGTATTTGATTTACATTTATTTCTTCTGACAAAAATTTCTGAGAGAACCAGACCAATTGTTTTTAGGTATTTGTTCTTTTTTCTTATTATTGTTCTTATGATATATTCACATTTTAATACTGCTATATATGAAATTCAATTTTAAATGAACTGATTACTTGAACTGTCTAAGAATTACAAGTGTAAGTTTGTTTTGCCAAAAAAGAGTCTAATCTTAAAAACAGTGATTTTCATTCAAGACTTAATAAATATTTAAAAGAACGTTTGATCTGACTCATTGATGTTATGCCAATTGTGAAGCCTTTTGTATTATTTGGAATGAATATTTCAGATTGAAGAAAACTCAATTTAGATCTGCTGAAGTCTGCTAAAAACACTTTTTTTTATTTAAGCCAATTTAAAATAATGATTTACACCAAATTCAGAAAAGAGTTTGCATGAAATCAAGTCTGTTAAAAACCTTCTTTTTTCCATTTAAGCCAATTTAAAATATTGATTTACAACAAATTCAGAAAAGAGTTTGCATGAAATGCAGAAAATTAGTTTGAACTGAATGGTTTCTGAACATTAGGCCAATGTAAAATCTTTATTGTGAATGGTTACTTCAATTTTATTAGGTTAATCCAATGTTTCACTTTTTACAGTGTATGGCATAGTGGGTATCGGGTTCCCACCAGGTCTCAAACGCAGCTCGAGTTCCCTTGAAAGCGAACGTCTCAGGTTACGTATGTAACCCTGGTTCCCTGATAGGGAACGAGACGCTGCGTTCATCTGCCATACTTCCTGCATGCCCTGATCGACTTGCTTCAGGGTTTTCAGAAGCTGTCGCGGTCTGTTTTCAGGGCCAGGGGTGCTTTATAGTTTCCTGGTCTATGACGTCACCTATGACGTATCGGGCTTCCATTGGACTGATTTTACACATGCTTCATGACGCAATCACGCAGAGCGTTCCCACCGCGTCTCAAACGCAGCATCTCGTTCCCTATCAGGGAACCAGGGTTACATACGTAACCTAAGAGGTTTCCGGCTGGTGGATTACCCCCTTGATCAAAACAGAGCAGCACAAACCTGTGATTTTTGAACCAAAAATGTGATTATGCACATTGCAGGTGCAGAATGAAGTGCTTAAGCCGCCTTTCCACTGCAAAAGACATTCGCATACGATTGTTGCATTTCGCCTCCTAGTGGCAGTCACACGGAACTTTGAAATTGGCAGTGAAGCAACTGTTACTGTTCCTCGGCTTATTAAGCATGGTAAAATAATTTTAATGAATGTAATGCATGTATGAATACATCCACACAAAACAAATGACCATCAATAGGGTACATCTAAAATAAGAACATAGTCGATTTTATAGAGCTAATCAAAATAAATAGGCTATTGATTTAATAATTATAAAAAAAAATATTTCTGCCATATATCATATTGGAGAGAGTTTTACCGTGCTGAGAGTCGTAACAGAATGCGACACGCTGTGTGAATGCTGAACGGAGAATAATTGACAGCCGCAGCGGAGGAAGGACAAGTTTCCGTGAACTGATTTAATTATATAAATATTCTTCTGTCCCTCACATTAAGCTATGGAATGACTTTAGATGACTTTGAATATAGTGCACAAAAACTTAACTGGTGCTTGTCTATTCTTTTGGTCTATGTATGACTATGTATGTCGCAATAATCACGGTTGTTAGATCATTAATCGCAATTAGACATTAATTATTTAATTATCCTGACAGGACTACATGAAGGTTCTGTTGTTTGACACAAGTATCATAATGAAACGTCATTAGTATTTAAAAAATATAAAATACAGCTATTAGTTTACACAGTGTTGTCCATGAACAATACTCACTCGTAGGAGTAGTTGAAGAAATGGTTGTAGTGACAAGGGATGCTGTGATATATGGACGAATAAAGAAATAAAAACATTTATGAAATAGTACAAGCTAACAATGGCATATGTTCATACAATTAAGTTTTGTATTACAATCAATGTATTAACATCAATCAATGTAAACGTTTTAACTGGTAGGTGCTGATGTTTGATACTCAGGAAGTGACATGAAATAAGTACAATTAGTATTACAGTTTTCTTTATATTTATTGACATGTCTACAAAGACTATTTTTTGCATGCAAAGGAATTCTGCATTTCAAGAATTATTTTTACACAAATATATAATATAGACATAAAAAGTCCCAATTTTTTTTTACTTAAAGTGCTGATGTTTGACACTTAGGATGTGATTTGAAATACTGAAGTAGCCCTCGCTTCACTGTGTCATCAGCTGCGCTCAAATGATCTGCCCTTATGTTGTTAAAGGTTGGTTATTTACGAAATTAATAAATAATAAAGATAAAGCAAGATGCCATGTTGATATATGTGTGATATGATTTATTTAAACTAAAAAGGTAAAGAAAAAATTAAAATTATTGTGACAGATGTGAAGGGGGAGGAGAATTTATACGTGCATCAGGTTTCTCGACAAGAAAGACTTGTGCGTCCTCTCTCATAGCTTCTCAGGAAGCTTCCTCACTCCTCGTTCCTCGCGGTGCAATTAGAGAATTGAGATGTCCTTCAAGATGGCTGAGCTCCTTTGGTTTCCAGGTCATAGGATGAAGGAAGGAGGCCATGAAAATGAGGAGGGATATTGAGAAGCACCCCTGGTGGGTGTATCAGACCCATTACCCGACCGGTCACTGATAACTTTTTTTTAGGACTGGAATTAATGACATGTTAAAAAATCAATTTCTCCTGCCCAGTTTTGGTCCTTTAGGGAGGTTTTATGGATTTTGTAGAGTTAGTGCTTGCAAAGAGTGGTTCCTTTTTCACCGTAGGTGAGGTGGAGGAAGACTATGATTATCACCTGCCTGCCATGGACCCATAGCCTGAGAACACGCCTGCTACAGACCCTGAGACTAAGCATACAAATCTATCCTGGAGCTACAGCCAGCTGCCATGTCCGTCCTAGTAGGAGCACTAATTCCTCTGAACATCCTGGAGCAGAGTCCCACCCATGTCTCCATAACGAGGTAGAATGTATCCCCTTCTATTACATTTCGAATATTGGACACGCTTCCTACTTCCTACAGTTCCTACTTGTTTCCAAGTCCTTCCTCCACCATTAACTACCATGTCCAAGCTGGTTCCGTCCGGGTCACTGGTTCCTTCATTTCCGCTGGTTCTGCCCGGCTCCTTCATCTCCACCGGTTCCTCCCAGCTCCCTGGCTCCTTCGTCTTGACTTGTTCTGCACAGCTCCCTGGCTCCACCCCCTCTGCAGACTCCATCCAGTTGACTGGCTCCGTCTCCTCTGTTTACTTCATTGGGTTATCTGGCTTTACCCCCTCTGCTGGCTCCAGCTGGGTCCGTGGATCCACACCCTTCACTGGCTCCGCTCATTTTCCCGGCTTGCCTCATCTTCCTGAGACACCGGCTCTGCCTCTGGCTATGCCTCATCCCTCCACCCTTTTGGCTCCACTGGCTACTCCGTCCCTCCGGCTTCTCCTTTGTCCTCACTCCAACTGCCTCCAGCTAGGTCTTCCGAGCCCTCTTCTCCACCTCAGTCCTCTGACCCTTCGGTTCCGCCTTGGACCCCCATGCCTGGGGTGTCAATTTGGTCCTTCATCCCTCCATCTGCCCCTTGGTATCCAGCACACCTTACTCCACTTTGGTCTTCAGTTCCCACGGCTCCGCCCCGGTCAAAACCGGGGAGGGCACCGCCGTGGACCTTCAGCCCTCCAGAATCATCAGCAGAAGTGGATTCACTGGTGTCGCAAGAAGCCTTCCCCATCTACTCTTATGTGGTTCCTTCCGCCACCAGCCACTCCTTGGTTTTCTTTTCGCTTGTTCTACCCAGCTCTCTGGCTCCACCCTCTCTGCAGCCTCAATTCAGTTTTCTGGCTCCGCCTCCTCTGCTGGCTTCATTGGGTTATCTGGCTCCACCCACTCCTCTGGCTCCGGCTGGCTCCATCCCTCCGACGACTCCTTTGTCCTCACTCCCACTGGCTCTGTCTTCTGACCCTTCATCGCCACCTTACTCCTCTGACCCTCTGGTTGCACTTTAGACCCCTGTGCTTGGTGTCGATTTGGTCCTTTATCCCTCCATCTGCACCTTGGTATCAAGCCCACCTAACTCTACTTTGGTTTTCAGTTCCCATGGCTCCGCCCAGGTGAAAAATGCAGAGGGCAACGCTGCGGACCTTCAGCCATCCAGCATCGTCAGGAGAAGTGGATTCACTGGTGTCGCAGAGGCCTCCTCCTCCTACTGCTCCGTGGTTCCTTCCTCCGCCAGCCACTCCTTGTTTTTTTTCTCTCCACCGGTCCCTCCATGGACTCTGGGGGCCCTATTTAACGATCTGAAACGCAAGTGTCAAAGCGCAAAGCGCAAGTAACTTTGTGGGCGGATCCCGGCGCTGTTGCTATTTTCCCGGCGGGATAAATGCCTCTTGCGCCTGGCGCAAATCTAAAAGGGGTTGGTCTGAAGTAGCTTCATTATTCATAGGTGTGGTTTGGGCGTAACGTGAAATAAACCAATCAGAGCGTCATCTCACATTCCCTTTAAGAGCAGGCGCGCTTGTTCTAAAGCGGATTCCTATTATAACGGCGGATTTGCCAGGCGCGCGCCAGGAGCGGTTCACAGCCGAGGAGAGCAACGTTCTCGTCAGGGCCGTAAAACACAGAGAAGTGACATTGGGGATGGAGAAACCCACCCAAATTAACTTCTGTTAAACAGGCGTATGATAATTTGGGTAAATGTGTAAGCTACATGTTGCTTTTATAATAAATTGTCTATCTATCTATCTATCTATCTATCTATCTATCTATCTATCGTAATAATGTATGATTTGCAAAAATGAAAACTGCTGCTTAGATGAGAGAATCAACGTGTATGCGCGTTGTGCTCACGCTGGCTACATTGATTATGGCCAAGCATGCGCCCTTAAAATAGCATTATGAACAACGCGCAACGCGCCACTGACTTTAGACTAGTTTTTTTCTGGTCAGTGGCGCAATTGTTTTATAGAACAGCAAAATAGCATGAGGGAAAGTTTGCGCCGGAACACGCCTCCTCTTTGCGCTGAACCGCCCCGGGGAGCGCAAGTGTATTTCTTAGTTAACCGACGTGCGTCTGTGGAGGGAAAAGCCCACTTTGCGCGGGTGGAAAATAGGAATGATACATGCGTCAGTGTACAAAGTCATTTGCGCCGAGTGCAAGATAGGGCCCTCGGTGTCTTAGCCCTCCTTCCCACCTGAATGGATTATACCTTCCCTTCCAACCACCTCGGGGTGGGGGAGGTAATGTTAAGTCTAAGCTCAGTTAGTTTGTTCCCTTGGTTAATGATTGTGTTCACCTGTGTCTTGTTTAGTTTCTGATTATCCTGTGTCAAGCTGGGTGCTTTTTATGTCTTGTGTATAATTCACTTCCTAGTCTAGAGTCGTTATTGACAGGGGATGCTGTGATATATGGACATATAATGAAATAAAAACAAACATATACAAAATATTGCTTAGAAGCAAACAATGGCATATGTTCATACAATTCATTTTTGTATTACAATTTAAGTATTATTGTTAGAAGAATAACTTATAACATTATAAACATTTTAACTGGTAGGCGCTGATGTTTGATACTCAGGAAGTGATGTGAAATAAGTACAATTATTATTAAAAAAAGTTTTATTTGTAGACATGTTTACAAAACCTTTTTTTTGTATACAATGAAATTCTGCATTTCAAGAATTATTATCACACAAATAAATAATGTAGGCATAAAATGGTTAAAAAAAATACATTTTAGGTGCTGATGTTTGATACTAGGATGTGATTTGAAATACCGAAGTACCTATTACGTATAACATGAGCATGTGAATAAACTACTGGTATCATTTTCCTATTATCATGTTTACACAAATGTCCATGAATAAACATACTCACTTGTAGGAGCTGATGTTAGAGAAGTAGTTGAAGAAGAGATTGTAGTGGCAGTGGCTGCTGGAATATTTTAATATAGAAAGAATTAATACAGTTTCAATGTGCAATACTTGTTATGCTTACAAGGATATTTTTAATTAATACAATAACATTCTGTATTACAAGAATTACTAAAAGAACATGACAAACAGTAAATAATTTTGCCAAAACAGTTTACTTTTCCAATGACTTTCTGATTATCGTGCTGTGTCATGCTGGGTGCTTTTTAAGTCTTGTGTATTGTTCACTTCCTAGTCTAGTGTCGTTATTGTTATGATTATTAACATTTACCACATTAACACAAAAATTAATGAACTACTGAAATAATTTTCCTATTAACATGTTTACTCAGTTGTCCATGAATAAAAATACTCACTTGATAAAGTTGATGTTTCTGAGTCAGTTGAAGTAGAGCTTGTAGTGGCAGGGTGTGCTAAAATATTTAGATGTAGAATAGAAACATTATGCAAGTAATATCCGTTGACATACTTAATGTCATTACTGCATGAAATTAAATTCTGTTTTGCAAAAACTTTTAATAAAATATAATATGACAGCATCTGCAAACTGCGTTAATACAGTTTTTTCAACTGAAATGTCATAATTGTCTATCTATATAAATTACATCTCGTAGGAGATGCTGTTTGACACAATTATCATAATACAACTTCATTGGTGATAACAGTTTATAAAATACAGCTATTAGCCGAGATGAAAGCCATGCTTTCCCGGGCCGCCGCGAGCATCGGGCTATAGTGGAACCCTCCGCCCTGCCCCGAGCGCTCACAGTTGGATGATTGGTTTTTGGGTGCGGCTGCGGCTTCACGGCCGCAGCCAACCCCAATCCCATTCTTCCAGGAAGTGCATGAGGAGCTGTTGAAGTCATGGAAGGCTCCATTGACCTCCCGTGATCGTTCGACAGC